CTCAACCTATTAGAATAAATCACATAGTCACACATTCTCAAAACATCTTTAAACCTAAACATTCCTTTATGGTGTTTAAACACACTATTCCTTTCCTTTGAACCAACATAAGTAAACAAGAAAGGAGTAATGGTAGTTGATTTTAATGCATTGATTGCTAATGGCACTTGGACATTGCTTCCACCTAAATCTTTTCAGAATATTACGAGCAATAAATTAGTGTTTAAAGGAATCTTGATAACACTATTGATAGATTCAAAGTCAAGCTAATTGCTAAAGGCTTTCATCAAAGACCTAGTTTAGACTTGCACAAATCCTATTCAGAGAATCTTAGTTGGACTAAAATTTTTTCAAAAAGTTTTAATTTGATTAAAGCTTTATTCGACGATCAAGTTGACCTAGAAAGTTCTAGTCAAGGCAAAACTCTACTTAACTTAACCTAGCTCACAAGTCCAAACCTATAAATGTCATATTGGATCTTGTATTAGGTAGATCCGTTTAGATATATGTTTTAAAATCCTTACCCATTTTAAATCTGTCATTAAATTATTAGCATGTGACATATAGTCAATGATCATACATCATGTAGTCTTAGAAATGCATGATGTATATCATTTAGTTATAATTAGGATTTATTTTATTTTAAAAGCAATGGATATTTATAATGTAAATCCACATTTAACATGTCATGCATAATCCTATCATATAAAATAGGCATAAAAACGAGTTGTATTAAATATACCCTAGAGGCATTTTATAACTTGTCATCTATGTATGCCATTTAGATCATGTCACATTAAGTGTTTTTTTGGTAACTCATTTTTATCTTTATAATAATAGCATGAACTGTTTTACTTATGTAAATTTAATTGATAACATGATACATGTATCATTAGTGGTTGATAAATCATTTAAGGTTGTCGATGCATGTATATTTTTTTCAATGAATGCGTGACAACATATAATATATAAATTGTTGATACAAGTTTCTTGTTATTAAGAATAAAAAGGAGAGGCATGCTCTTTAATCATTCATTGGTAAAGATGAGATCATGATATTGAAACCGACATTGATTTTGGGGATATAAATATATCAATTGGTGACTCTTAATCAAACCTTAGATCTCAATACTGAAACAAGCACTAGGGATGAAATCCACACCACTCACAATAACCTAACTTGGTGATCTTAGAGGATTAGTGCTTGATGTAAATAAAGAAACTTTGTAAGCAAAATTTTTCTTGTAATTGAAACCATGCATTGTTATGTATCATGAAATCAATAATTGATCTTGTGTTTAGGATTGAAATTTTTAAAATTCATGCCCTAATCATGTTTAAATCCAAATATCTAAATAATGAATATTTATAGACAAGTTGTGTCACAAGCCTGTCATACTTTAAAAAGAGTAAGTTTGAGATTTATTAGAGTGAATCATTTAATACTAGGTTTAAAATGGCAGCTTAGGTTTAAGCCTAGTAAGCTGGATTGATTTAAGCAGAGTTTGGCTTTTTAGGCATGTTGAGGTAGATTTTAGGCTTTCCTTGGGCTTCTGAGTTTAGTTAGCAAAGTTTGGGTCCTTTTTGGGCTTCTAGGCTTAATTAGGTTAAGCCTTGGCTATCTTTTAACATCTAAGCTTAGTTAGGCATAATTTGGATTCTTTTTAGGCTTCTACGATTGGATTTTTGGGTTAGGCTAGGTTTTTAGGCCCATATTGAGCTTTTGGGCCAGGATCTTTAGGTTAGGTTGGACTTTTAGGTCTCTAGGTTTGGCTAAGTTAGTAGATTGGCCTCTAAAGGTTTTAGTGCTTAAAGAGTGGCAAAAACACTAAAAAAAAGAAAGAATTCTCAGTTATGATCTAAAAAATGGAAAATGGAAAAAGTTTGTTTATATAACAAATGTAAGGTGAAACAAACGATTAAGATAAGAGTTAATGGACTACTAGGACTTGTGATAAAATTCAAACTTCATTAATTGGAATTAATACTGATCGAAATTAATTATCCAAGTGATAAATAATGAAATAGTTCACAAAATTATTAAGCTATCTCGAATTTTCAACACATAAATGTTGATAGACACCAAGGGATATTAATCAACACTTCTTGGTCTTTTAAGATTGAAAACATTCAAAAAATGGTTGATTCATCCTTACTAGGAATTTCGAGTCTAAGCGAATCGACGTTGTTGAGTTCGGTAGGTCATAATTTCTCGTTCGATTTCAAATTGAATGATTTTTTTTCTAGTTGGAAAGCTTAAATAACTTAAATAAAAAGCAATTTTTTCTTCCTTCCTTTTTCATTTACCAAACATGGATGAAATTTTCAAGATTTTTTTATTTTAATCTTTTAAGGTATTAAGTATATGAATGGTAATGAAACAAATATTTGCGATTTTAAGATATTTGTATCCGAATTCATTTAATTTTTATGATATTCAAATATTTTTAAATATCCGATTAAATTTAATATTACTATCTAAATCCGAATTCATTTAAATAAACATTATTCGTTAAATATCTGAATCCATTAAAATATTTTATTACTTAATTTTTTTGCTAAAATATAAAATAAACAATAATTAAATTTAATAATCAAGTTTACTTTTAATTAATAACAAATAAATATTGTTTGCTAAGGTCCACAAGCATAAAATTTTGCATATTTTTCATATGCAAACCGATAATGGATTTGAATACGGATTTGGATATCTAATATTATCAAGTAAAACTTAAATAGATTCATATATTAAATATCTAAAGGGTAATATCTGAATCCAATTTGAATTCATCACGAATAATAAAACTACTATTTTAAATTCATTAATTATCCATTTATAAATATCTAAATACAATATAAACGAATCAAATAATGTTAAATATTTAATTATTTATTATCCATTATCATATCTAGTACAATATAATACCAACATATATATATATATTATATTACAATATACATAATTATCATATAAAATTTACTGACGTGGATAACTTCATGTTTTGATACGTAAGAAAATTTATAAAATTTCTCTTTACAATAACATATAAGATATTTACTAATTTTATATTATTTATCAAAAATATATATTTTAAAAATTATAAAATTATCTAAAATTTTGCTATTTATCTGTAATTAAAAATTTTAAAGTAATTTATCATTTTCAATTTATCTGTAGTTGAAAACTTTAAAGTAGTTTATTAACAATTAAATGAAAATCAATTTAAATTTAAAATAATTAAATAGATAAAATTATTATTTTTTAAAGGTTTATTTAAATGAATTTTTGGATTAAATAAATATATTTAAAAAATTATTTGGTTGTCCAAATCTTTTCCTAGACCTTGATTCTTTGCTGACTTCCTGTTAAACTTATTTTTCAAACACTATTCCACACTCAGAATGTCAAAAGATAGTCAACTCCTCTACAAACCCCCCACCTAAGGCATTGAAGAAAGCTGGGGATCAAGAGAATTTAGCCCCATCAAGTGAAAAAAGACAATCAAATCCCACATCAAAGTTATCCAATCATAGTGTGTTATCCAAACGAGTAACTTCAAGAATTGGGAACAACCATGCTCTTGTTAATGAGCAGAAAAGAATAGTTCAAAAATCCTTTCGCATGTCAATGAATTTCACTCTGCGTGTTGGTGAAACCGATAAAACATCACTCAAGATATCCAAAGAAAGTTCGACTCCACTACAAACACCAAACATGGTACTTTTTTTTGTGCCACTTTATTTATTTGCTTTTTTCCATATCTGCACATTAAGACACAATTGCTTCTGCTGAAATAGCACTGGATATTTTCAAGAGTGGATGACAAAATAAAAATATTTGGAATGTTTCAATTGATGAAAAAGTCACAGTATTGTCTGAGTGTACATTTTTATTCTCATATTATTTTAGAGGGTACTAAATATTTTGGAAGTAGACACCAAGTGGTTATATTTGTTAAATGACCAAGAGGAGTTACATTCGCAAATAGCAGGCATTTGTTAATTTGGGGTTCAAAGCATGCTTCAATAGTTCTTCGGTCACAAGATAAAAAGGTAGTTTTCCTTCCCAAAATGTCTTGCTGAAACTTTGCTTAAAAATGGTTTTTCCCCTTCACTGACATAATCTATTTCTACAGGACTAGAGCAGTACTCAATAAGTCAGTTTCAGAAGGGGTAGCAAGAGATGTGAGAGGCCTTCCCTCTCCAGGGAGGGGGTAACAGGTAAAATCAATGATTACAACTTTTTTCATGAAAATTTAAAGATTAATTGTTACACATATTTATACTTTATATAGAAGAGAATCAATATTTACTTGAGAAAATATAAGAAGTAAGTAGTTTAATATATTTTATTAATTTTTGTCAATAATTTTTTAAGTAATTATTTACAATTTAATATTATTATTTACTCAAAATTTAAAATTAATTTATTTCAGTTTTTATACTAATATAATTCTACATCATATGTCAATTTTAAAACAATTGAAAATCATAAATATTTGAAAAGTTTTATAAATCTTAAAGATCATAATATTACTAAAACTTTTGTTAAAAAAATGTACATGCGAATAAATTATCACTTATATTATTTAAATATTTAAAATTATTATTTGTCTTAAATAAATAAAACTTATTTTAAAATTACATAAATTTGTAGGGTATAAAAATAATATGAGAAGTTGAAGATGATGCAAATTGAATAAAATTAATTTTAAGGAATAAAATTTTAATTTCTATTTTAATAATTTATCGGTATACTTAATAATATTATTTATAATATTTTTTGAATTTTTTTCTTCCTCTAATATTATCTATTGTACATTTTAAAGTTTGTCAATTTTTTAATTAAAAATTTTATTTTTATTATAATTTGATATTTTAATTATATTATTTATATTATATATATATTTTGCACATGTAAATAATTCGATAATATTAATTTTTATTTTATTTAAATTTGAATAAAATAAAGACAATTCATAGCAACCTAGTTACAAAAATAACAACAACCAGGTTAGGTTGGTGTCGGCAATTAACCCAAATCCAAAATTAATGAGACAAAAAGGATATAAATGCCTTATGATTATACTAATGATGGGCTGAGCTGGTCTAAGCGGTCACCTAATCCATTTCATTGCATTTGCCCGTAAACTCTGCAATTAAAGCCCCTCTCTTCCTTCCCCAAAGCATCAGAAAAAAAATTCCTTTTTATTTGTCTTCCGTCTAAGGCGCATGTTAGATTCTCTTAGCATATATTTAAAAATAGAAAGTTCCCCTCTTCTCACTCTTGTCTTTCTTCGTTTCTTCTTACAGGAACCCTAAATTTCAGGGTTTTTTTTTTTTTTTTTTTTATGTAAGAGATCCTGCGATCGTGAAAATGATGGTCTTATAGTTGATGATGAGTAAGTGTGGTTTCCTTACTTCCTGGTTTTCTTTTTCTTTTTTTTTTATGCATGTGCTGAGAGCAAGTTTGATTTTTTTTTTTTTTTGCAAAAAGAAAAAAGTTACTGTTTTTGCGCTGTGTTAGCTTTATTTTGCAGCTTATTAGTTAAAAAATAAGATAGTAGATTGCCTCTTTTCTCTTGTTAATATGTATAGTTGTTGACTCTGGACTTGCAAATTTTTATGAATTAGTAATTTTTATTCTAGGAGATTGTAATTTCTTTGTGGCATTTCATTTCTCTAATGGAAAACGATCATTGCTGATTATTTCGGTTGTTTTATCACCCTTTTGATGGAAAATTTTCCATTGTCTGTACTGTTGATCATTTGAAACAAAAAAAAAAAAAAAAGAGGAACCTTTGCATTTGAAGGAAAAACAATGTTCAATGTGTATGGTTTAACTTGTAAATTTACATATTGTGAGTTAGATCATTTTTTTTTTTTGGTCCAAACAAAACGAAGTATTTTTGTGGTACTGTTTATCGTGAAAAAACCCAATATGAGTGGCACCCGCCAAGCTCCTAATGAAGGAGGTATCTTGTCTTTTTCTTGCTGCTTAGCGTTATCCTAATTTGTTTTCATTAACTTTGTGTCTGATTTCTTTTTTGTTGTAAGAATTGAAGTTCAGAATTCAGTCAAAACACCAAAGAACTGAGCAGCGTTTGTGACAAAAGAATTATCAAGGTTCTTATTTCTCCCATGAATATATCAAATCTGCTTTACATTGTAAAATTTTTTTCTCCCAACTCATATTATTTATTTTTTTCTCAATCCCATAGGTTTTGTCTTGCATTTGGAAGCTGAAGCAATTTTCTTTTATAAATTTCTCAGCAAGCTTTAAAAGCTGTTCTTAAATTGAGTAATCCGAAATACATATATTGCAAGCTTAAATGGGTGCTTTTTGCTGCTGTCCATGTGGTGATGAATATGAAGAATATGCTTATTCTAGCAATTCAATATATAGGCACTGTATTTGCCTAAGATTCTTCTTCTACCAGCTATTCACTGGGGTATGTCTCTTCTTATCTTGTGGTTAGCTGCATAAAAGCAACCTGTTATTCCTATCGGCTCGCTTTCATTTTTATTCTGTTGATACATGCCCTTATATTTATAAATACCAAAGGTAAGGTATGACGCAGATATCAAGGCCACTTTGTTAATTGCTTTGAGCCTCAATTTGCATGAAATTAATCTATTTAAGAAAGAAAATAATAAAGATTATAAATACTCCTAGATAGATTTCTCTGAAATTTGGAACAAGAACTTTAGATGCTAAATTAGCTGTACAAAGATTGTATATGTACTTTGTTTCTCTTGAAAGGCAAGTGCACTAGTTCTGTTGCTTTCACGATGTCATATAACCCAATTTTTACCTAAGTTTAGTTTGATGAAATAACTTCTTAATTTTCAGTTTCTTCTTTGATCTGCAGTATAGTGCATTGTTTAATAGATTGGAAGGGCGGCATGTATCATCCCAGATCCAGGCAGCTTCTCTGTCATCAACAGCAATTGTTACCACAATACCAGATAATTCAGCCAACGAAACTCATGTTACAATTTCCAGACCTGTCCTTTATGATACCGAGCAGAGGTACTCTCGCTTGCAGCGTGATGGCTTGGTCTCTAGGCGTGATAAGTCTGTGACTCATTTTCAAGACGAAACACAACCACTAAGAAGAAATATGAGCAGTTCTGGTATGGAATCATTGGGTATTGGGAGGAAACGGAATGGAGTGGAGTCAGAAGAAGACTCTAAAATTGCCCATCCTGAGTCATCAGAGAGGACTTTGGCACCAAAAGTTGCATATAGACCTGATTATATGCAGCCTTCATCTGAAGATGAAGATGTCTGCCCCACTTGTCTTGATGGTAATTTAGCATATTTATGTCTTTAAAGAAGAAAGAACTGTGTTTTACAGTTGTACTGGTATGCTTGTTATTTTTCAATATAGGTGTCTGATAAGATTTTACTAAGCAGTGGTGATAATGGTTAGATTGAAAAAGGCAATTTGTTTCAGCATTTTAAAGTTATGCTTATATTTATATAAGTGATTAATTTCTTGCAGAATATACCCTTGAAAATCCTAAAATCATTGCACGCTGCTCACACCATTTTCATCTTGGTTGTATTTATGAATGGTTGGAAAGGAGCGAAAGTTGTCCAATATGTGGCAAGGTATGTACGAAGTTACTCATTCTAAACTGCAGATATGTGCAGTCTCTGTAGTGTAGTTTAGGTATGTCAGGGTAAATTCTGTAATACTGTGAATGACAATGACTACCAGGATCGTTGATTGGTTTTGCCTTTCGGCTTGAGAAAATAGGAAGCAAGCAACTCATTTAAACATACCAGGGTTATATACAAATTTCGTTGACTACCTTCTTTCCATTTCTTTTGTGGTTCAGGAGATGGAGTTCTGTGAAAGCCCTTAAGTCTGTTGCATCTGATTCCAATGCAATGGAGCAAATACGTATAGAGCAGCAGGTAGTATCAGTATATTTAAGTGCTCTGATATTTTCTTAAAGAGGCATCGCATGTATAGAGGTGTTTGTTTGTTATCTGTTACTAGTTTTACTACCTGGTAATTTCTTGGTACTCAGACTTACAATGCTCATGATGTTACTTTCTATGTAAAAAGGCTAATAATTTGTGTGAAGTTATATTAACTGCCTGTAAACATAACTTTCATGGAATCAACTTGATGACGTGTAACAGTCAATATCAGCTGTCATTTGTTACCTATACTAAATATGCACATGTTACAAAAAGTATGAGGATTAGTCATGGGATAAAATAAAAGAATTTATACTTGTGCATTTTCCTCTGATGGCAGCCATTATGTTCAACTTTCACATTAAGTTGTTTGTGAATCTTAAGCGGCACTAGGGTTGATTTTTGCAGGTGCATGTCATGTAAGTCTTGGTATTTTGGTCATATCTTGTTTGTAGTATAGGATGTAAGATTTAACTATTGTTTGGCTTTTTTTTTTTTTTTCCAGATTTATCTAATAAGTTTGATGGTTCTTTAACATAATATTAGATTAGATTAGGATAATCTAGATTCGTATTTCAATATACTTTTCGAATTAATTCCAAGACTCGTAGAACTCATTTAAGGTTGAATTTTAGCAGGTTGATATTTCCATGCTGAATATATAAGCTTTTTCTCACTGGTATAACCATAATTTATTTGCCGATCAACTAATTATAGAGGTCCAAGTTGGATTCGAGACTCGTAATCCTATCTATTCGTATACTCGTGTAAAACACAAACAATTAGTGTTGCCGAGAGCAGATTTCTTTTTCCAACGTACTTGTGATACTGTAGACTTCAATTTAGTATATTCACTACTCCATTTATTAGCAACTTGGAAGGAAAATATGACCTCCAACTACCTTGTTTGAGGTCTTTGAGTGCTCTCTCTTTACAAAATAGGACCCAACATATTAACATGTAGATGCAAATCAATGTCGACCATTTTGGAGGCTTTAATGTTTGAAAATATGAAACTCTTTGCTCCTTTTTTTTTAAAGTTCTTGTCAATGTCATTGCAAAGAAAAGGGGTACTTTACTAGTATTTCCATTATTCACTTGTCAGCCTTGTTTTATTCATGCAAATCGTAAAACGTAAAGAGCAATAGCTTGGCAATGAAAGGGTAGTGTTTGATCATTATAGGACTTAAAGAGACAAAAATTAGAAACTGCCCCCCCCGCTCCCTTTTTTTTTTTTTTTTTTTTTTTTTGGTTTTGAGAAAGACTAGTTCTGTTAAACTAAAAAAATGTGAAAAAAATGGGCTGATAATTAGCAAGGACCGTGTTAATTGTCTTCATTCCAAAGGGCAAAACACAATCAAATCGAACTACGAGATAGTTATTCGAAATTTTAAACGTGTGAATCGGAGAAAATTACACTTTTTTTAGAATGGGATTTCTCTTAAAAAGTTATCAACATAAATTGACAGTAATATGTCATGGATGTGTTTGATTCATATACATATATATATGTATATTTAAAATTAGATGAATAATTGTTAAAATATGCCACATAAATGCTTATATAGATAATTTATATTTTTGACACAAAATCCCATAAATAATTCTTCAATTTACATTATTATTTACTAAATAATCTTATCTAGTCAATTTTTTCATAATTACTATCCAATCAAATATTCAATATTTCAAAAATACAAAAATTAATTTTATTCAAATCTTTTAATTTTTATATGCTTTTATCCTAATTAAATCAAAAAAAGTTTTTCTCTAACTCATTTTTTTAAATATGTTAGACATTTAAATTCAAAAGATTTAAAAATTATCTATGTATACTAGTTGTAATTCAAGAAGTAACCTATGTTTTTTAGCCTATAAATGGCACGTACTGTTAGAAAATACAAGGCTCTCAAAGAATAAAACATAATGCGTAATTAATGTTTGAATTTGAGATTTTTTTTAGCCTCTCTCCTTTGCGAGTAGAACAAATGAAACGTTCAAAAAACGAAAAAAAATGATTTCAAGACGTGCTATAATGTCACTTTCCTTAAAGCTTATTTCGAAAGATATTCGAGAATAGTCTCCAAGATACAATGAAACTTATGTATTGGTTTTCTTTGCATTAGAAAAACTAACCCATTAAACACTCCTTGATGAAAGACAAAAATACCTTGTTTTTAACAAAAATTTTTATAGCAAACAATGCTAAAAAAACAACCTTTAACTTGAGAAAATGAGAAAAAGAAAAGAAAAGAAAAATACTTCTCAATTATATCAAATGAACTAACAACAATTTCTATTGTAAAGATTTATTTCTAAGATTGCGACTCTTAAATTGTATTGTTTTAATAAAAAATCACTTTTGTTTATTGAAAAGATGTCCTTCTAAATAATTTAAGGATGAATTGGTTTATTAAATTAATTGATCTTTTCATTCCAAGAGAAATTATTTTTCATATTTTAAAAAATTATAATTTTTCATATAAAGCAGTAAACTCCAACAAAAAGATAGTTGATTATCTTTTTATATTTTTAATTTCCAAAATGTTATTTGAAATTGGGCAATTGATTCTTCCTTAGAGTAGTCAACTTCTTTCAACTTCTAAAAAGCATTCGATAATTGAGCGGTCAATTGCTTTATATAACAATCAAATTTTTTTAATTTCCAAAAAAGTTTCAATTACAGCTTCCTATAAAGAAGTTGACTTTATTTTTATTAGCAGTTGACTGTTATAATCTCGAACCATTTTTTAAAAGATTATCAAATAAGAGCAGTCGATTCTTTTAGAATTTGAAATTAATTTCACTCATTTTCGACCATAACAGTCAATCTCTCAAAGATGAAAGTTGACTACTGTTTCATACATAATCTAAGTTTAGTTTATGTTTGTCAAACCAGTTGATTCCATGTTAATTGTCTTTAGTCTAAAGGGCAAAAGATAATCAAATCGATCTATAAGATAGTTATTTGAAACTTAAATTTACATTATTTATCAAATAATCTTATTCTATCAATTTATTTTTTCACAATTACCATTCAATCAATTATTCAATGTTTCAAACTTATAAAAATTAATTTTATTCAAGTCTTTTTAACCTTTTATATGTTTTATCTTATTTATCAAGCAAAATTTTTCTCAATTCACTATTTTTAAATATGTTAGACATTTAAAATTCAAATGGTTTAAAAATTATCTATGCATACTAATTATAATTCAAGACTTATCCTGCGTTTTTCAGCCTATGTGCAATATCATTTTTTTTTCTTTTTCAATTTACAAATTTTTCGTTCATAGTTATATTACCTTTTGTTTTTTTGCTCCATAACCTTTTTTTAATTATTTTTTTTTGTTTTGACACACATTTTTTAATTTTTTTTATATATTTTATTCAATATAATCAAAATAATATAAGTGAAGAAATGTCGATATTTTTTGAATTAGTGTTATAACTAACCCCTTAAATTATAATAAAACGTTCAATGTGATATTTAAATTTTAAAATTTTTTAATATAATACTTAAATTATGAATCTATTAACCAATATAATATTCATCTTTAACATGTCTAACTTTAAATGATGATACTTAACAGATAAACAACCCAACATGTATTATATTAGTCAACAAATCTATAATTTAAGTATCATATTAAAAATTTTTAAAATCCAAATAACATATTAAATATTTTATTATAATTTGAAAACCATTTATGACAGTAATCCATACCTTTTGACTAATCCGATTCACAATTCAACAATGAATTAGAAACTATATAAAGAACACTATAAATTCGTTTTCAATAAAGCTATCAAATTCATATTTCAAATATGTTCAGCCTTTAACAGGGAATTTGATTTCTCCTTTATTACTTATTGTGTCTTTTCTAAATTTAAAAAAAAAAAATTTATCAAATGTATGCACAACAGATTTTTTTTTTTTTTAGTTTACAACTTAATTTCCTTTCAAAATATATTATATTACTATTATAATTTTGTTTTTATAAAAAAAAAAAACATTTTTTCAATTTCTTTTTCTTTTGACAGAAATCTTCTAACTTTTTTTTTTCAATTATCAAAACCTTTCAAAATTATATAAATTATATTTATCCAAACATCATTTTAAATATTATTTATAAACTTTTTTGTGGGATTAGATCCACACAAATATCTGTAGATAAGATGATAATAATAAAAGACTTACTAACCAAGTAGTCAGTTTTCAAGTCAAAAGCATATTAAATTTAAAAATAAAATAAATTATATTGATTTTTTTAAAAATAAATGTGCAAAAGGACATGATTAAAAACAAAAAGATAAAGTTGCTAAATATAAAATTATATATACATATCAATTTTCAAAATTTCTTATTATTACGCTATTTTAAAAATAAAAAATAACACATATAACTTGAGGCCTGCAAACATTATTATTTGCTACACCATTTTTCCCAATATTCAACTTTCATTTCAAAGATATATTACTTTTATAATTTTGTTACTTATTTATCTTTTTCAGTATTCAACTTAATTTCCTTTCAAAATTATATTTTATTTTTGTAATTTTGTAATTTATTTATTTAGATGATTTCATCTTTCGAAAATTATTATTACTCAATTATTGTTTGTCAGAAATATTTTTAAAATAGTAAAAAATTGTTGATTAAGTAATATACATGATTAAGATATTAAAAAAATCAAGTAAACAACGCTAGAATTAAATTTTATAAGGTTCTACAACTACCTTAGTTGATTCAAGATACAAAAGAATCAATATGTGAATGCTACTTAGCGGAGCAGTAAACTGTCCAAACTAAGGTAGTTGAATTGAATGCCATAGTTTTGAGGAAATGGAAAATGTTTCTGTAAAGACTAAAATATTAAGAAAGTCCATAAAGTCTTTTATTTTTTTAAATAAATTTTTATACTTATATTATATTCAAATAAATCTTTACCCTTTTATTTGTGGCAAATAAACCCTTATTCCAAACCAAAAATTTATTTATGTAAAGGATTATATTACTAACCCTTTAAAAATATAAAAAATGTCCGAGTTATAAAAGTAATACAGATTATTATATCTGTAAACACCCTATTTTATTTGAAAATTTTTCCCTAATCAAAATGAGCTTTGAGTTAAATTAGACCTTAATATAAAGAATTTTGGGGTCAAAGATTCAAAATCCAAAAAAAATGCTGATTTTGGTTTTGGTCTTTGATTTTAATTTTAATTTTAAAATTTTGGTTTTATGTTTAAGTTTAAGTTTAATTTTAATTTTAATTTTTTTATTTAATTTTATTTTTGGTCAAAGTCAAATAAGTAAGCAAAAGTCAGCAAAGTCCAAAAAAAAAAAACCCCAAAAAAGAAAAAATGTGTGAATTGGTTTCTAGGAAGATTTTGGATTCTGATCTGCTTTGGATTCGGTTTGAATTTGTGCAACTTAATGATGGATTAATCTTGGAAAGCTTGGGGCTCAATTCAATGAAAGAAAGGAAAGATTACAAAAATCGAATCTTAAGAAAAGTTTTTCTAGATTTGGTAGAGTTTTATAATTTCCTAAACTAGAGGGATTGAATCCCTATAAAAGGAACCTTAATCTGTGAACAAAAGGAATCAGGAGCAACAAGCAATCAAACAATTCAGAAGCAATTCAGCAGTAAGCATTCAAGTAATTCAACGGCAACAGAGGCAGTAGGCAATAAGATCAGAAATACAGTAACAAGCCCAATTTTCAGAAGCAATTTGCAGAGACACAAGACAGTCGGTTGAACCAATGAACAGAATCCAGCAATGAAACAGAAGCAATTAGCAAGCAGCAATTCACAATCAATACAGAGGCAATTGGCAGCAAGATTTTGGTGTTTCAGGAAACAAAGAAGCAAGAATCGATCAAACAATTCTCAATGACCAGAAAGCAACAAAGATCTAGCAATCCCAACATAAACCCAAAATTAACCCAGAAAGCACCCTCAATTCCCAGTAAACCTGAAATCAATTTCCAAAAATAGCAGCCCATGCATGCAGAAAATTCAACCAAAAATTGAACCTAAAGTTAGAAAATCAAGCAACCACAATAAACATAGAACCCGAACCCAACAAACACAACTCATAACTCAACAAAGCACTCACTACAGGCAAAAAGTAAAAATTGCAAGTTTTCACAGGGCTTTTCTTTGGGTTTTGGTCTAA